TGTTACATAATCCAAATATTGAAGTTTTCTAAGGAGATGGTCTGCAGTTTATCACATATTTTAATCTTAGCATCAGATATATTTTATGTACTATCTACAACCAAAAACTCCATTGCAGAATCAGAAAGTAAAAAGGCAACTGGCTTTTTGTCCTCTTTCATAACTAGTGCCCATTGCCCACTTTCTGCCCTTCCTCATCTCCTTACATTTGCCTTTCTTGTTCTTTTCTCCATAAAATACTGTACCCACACGGACATTTGTTCATATGCATACATTTATTACTGTCGAGAAAAGATGTTTTTCTGAGATTGTATGAACTCAGTATTATATATTTTAGAATAATATTTGGGTCCATCCATACAAATATCCCTATGGAAGGATATAGCTGAGTCTATAATAACTATATTAATTTGCAGCTCCACCAACAATAAATGAAGGTTCCTTTCTTTCCATATCTCTCTGACATTTGTTATCAAGATTCATAAATAGCCATTCTGGCCGGGCGTTGGTGGCGCACTCCTTTGATCCCAGCGCTCAGGAGGCAGAGGCAGGTGGATCTCTGTGAGTTCGAGGCCAGCCTGGTCTCCAGAGCGAGTGCCAGGATAGGCTCCAAAGCTACACAGAGAAACCCTGTCTCGAAAAAAAAAAAAAAAAAAAAAAAAAAAAAAAAGCCATTCTGACTCTTTGAAAACTACCTGTTCAATTCATTTGCCCGTTTGTTAATGGGTAGTTTAAAGTTCTTGCCTATCCCAGTATATTGAAGGTTATTCTCTGAAGTTTCTTCTAAACGTTCTTGGGTTTGTTTATTTGTTTGTTTTCCGAGACAGGGTTTCTTTATGTAGCTCTGGCTGTCCTGGAACTCACAGAGATTGTCCTGTTTCTGTGTGTGCCACCACTGCCTGGCTGGTCTGTAGTATATTAAACACCTGCCCTTGAGTTCACGCTTACCAACCTATATTTTTGTTTTTAGGATTCAGCTTCCAAATTGTATGATTTAAGAAAAACCAAAATCATCCATGACAGTGACTATAACCTTGTAAAGTAGCTTATTCATAATTTCTTATTGCTAGTAGAAACTTGAATCCAAACTGTTTAAAGACTTTGAATAGCCTAGTTAATAAACAAAGAACTTTAAGTTGGCTAAGTATCTGTTAAACTTCCCCCCCCCCCCCCCCCCCCCCTCCCCCCCCCCCGAGACAGGGTTTCTCTGTGGCTTTGGAGGCTGTCCTGGAACTAGCTCTTGTAGACCAGGTTGGTCTCGAACTCACAGAGATCCACCTGCCTCTGCCTCCCGAGTGCTGGGATTAAAGGCGTTCGCCACCAATGCCTGGCTGTTAAACTTTTTTATCTTATTGTTTGCGTGTGTATAGTGCTGAGAGTGTGTGAGCATAACATGAATATGGAGAGTCAGAGAACAACTTTCTGAAGTTGGTTCTCTCCTTCCATCATGGAATCTGCGGACCAACCTTGGTTGTCAGCCTTGGAACAAGTGCTTTTATCTGCTGAGCTTTATACTACTTGTGATATGTGGAGACAGAATATTTAATGGATGAATGATGTTTTCCAATAGTAGTAAGCACAATAAGTGAGCTGAGTATATGAAGGTACATGTGACACTGTAGATCAGAAAGTCCTGGACTATCTTCTAAGTATGTATAGACTACACCACTATTGGCCAGAAGGCTGAATTAACTCCTTTGTTAGATTTTTAACCCATATTTTCTTATCAGAATCATTATCATCTTTTTCTTTTTTCTTTTTTCTTTCTCTGTCTCTCTGGTGATCTGGAACTTGGCAAGTAGACTAGGCTGGCTCTCTGTCCATAGCCCCTGGAATCTACAAGCTTCTGCCTGTCCAGCACTGGAATTAAAAGCCTGTGCCACTATGCCCATCTTTTTTTTGTGTGTGTTTACCAGGCAAGCACTTTACCAGCTAACCCATCTTTCTAGCTCTACACAAAGGTGTCTTGTTTTTGTTTGAGACAGGGGTCTTATGTGGCCTAGTTTAATTTTGAACTGCTGGTCCTCCTGCCTTCTGCCAAGTTAGCTACTATATGGCTACAAAAAGTTTGAAGAATGGAAATATATTGAATTTTTAGTGAATGGTGCAGAATTTTTCTGGCTTTAGATAATAGATCTGAAAATTGCTGTTTAAGGAAGATTAAAGTGAAATTCATTTGAATATCTGAAAAGAATTTGTGCTTTATTTTGTAGATATATTTTGTAAGTTTTGTGTAGCTTTCATAGGAGAATAATTTGATGAGGGAAGAAAGAAGCATGATGATGTCAGATAACAGTGGCAGCCACTAGAATGGTTTGCACAGTTACCACATATGTGCTAGGAACTACTGTACTTCACTGGATTTTATGTTTTACAGAATCTGTTTTTAATTGGGAGACAGCATATGCACATGGGTACAGGTACCTGTGGAGGACAGAGATGCCGTAGCCTCAAGATCTGGAGTTAACAAGTGGATGTGAGCCTCTTGATGTGGGTACTGGGAATTTAAATCCAGTCCTTTGGAAGGGTATAATACCAGCCCTTAACTCCTGAGCCATATCTCTAGTCCTTGAGTCTAATGCTTTAAATGTAGAGGCACTAAGCACAATGAAGTGTGTGTGTGTGTGTGTGTGTGTGTGTGTGTGTGTGTGTGTGTGTGTGTGTGTGAGAGAGAGAGAGAGAGAGAGAGAGAGAGAGAGAGATCGTTTAATCCCAGCACTTGGGAGGCAGAGGCAGGTGGATCTCTTGAGTTCAAGGCCAGCCTGGTCTACAATGTGAGTTTCAGGAAAGTAGAGAAACCCTGTCTGGAAAACCAAATGATAATGATAAATAGATTAAGATGTCCTATAAGAATCATTAAGTTGGGCTGGAGAGATGGCTCAGAGGTTAAGAGTACTGGCTGCTCTTCCAGAGGACCCGAGTTCAATTCCCAGCAACCACATGGTGGCTCACAACCACCTTTAGTGGGATCTGGTGCCCTCTTCTGGTGTGCAAACATGCATGCAGATAACTGTATACATAATAAATAAATAAAATCTTTAAAAAAAAAAGAATCATTAAGTTACTTGCCCAAGACACACTGGTTCAGGGATTTAAAACCAAGCAAGCCCTTGGCTCTTGTCTTCTGCTGCCAGTTGTGATAGTGTGTTTGAGGAAGGTAATCCTGAAACAGGATGACTACAAAGCGACTTGCTGGCAGGAAGGAAGACTGCAAGACTAATGAAGAAACTATTTACAAATTTAAAGGATTCTTGTCTGGGCAGTGGATGGTGGCCCATGATTTAGGCAGGAAGATCTCTCTGAGTTCAAGGCTATCCTGGTCTTCAGAGTGAGTTCCAGGACAGTCTCTCTGTACACAGAGAAACCCTGTCTGGGGTAAAAAAATGAATTTTGAGTGGTCGGAGAGATAGCTTAGAGGTTAAGAACACTTGTTGCTTTTGTAGAGAAACCGGGTTCATTTCCCCACATCCATAGGTGGCTCACAACCTTCCATAACCTACAGTTCCAGGGGCTCCAGTGCCCTCTTCTGACTTTCTTGGTCACTACGCAGTCGCATGGTGGACATACATACATGTAAGCAAAACACTCATAAAATAAAGTTAATCTAATTTTTTTCTTTAAGGAACTGGTAAAATGACTTGGTTGGTAAGGTGCTGCCCACACAAGCCTAAGGGCTTGAGTTTAAGTCCTGACATCCATGTAAAAAGTCAAGTGGCAACACACACCTGTAATCCCAACACTAGGAAAGAAAGATAAAAAGACTGATTGATCCCTCAGGTTTGCTGGCCAGTCTAGTGGGATCAGTAAACTACAGGCTCTGAGAAACCCTGTCTCAAAAACTAAGGTGGAAAGTCAGTCTCTGACCTCTGTATACAGAACACAAGAATGAACCCGAGGGCTGACAGTGTTGCTTGGTTGGTAGAGTGGTTGTGGCATCCACAGAGTCCTTGGTTCAGTTCCAGCACTGTCTAACCAGGAGTGGTGGTGCATGCATGTCTGTAATCCTGCTCTTAGGAGGGTGGAGGAGGGGATCAGAAGTTCATGGTCATCCTTCCCTGCATAGCAAGTTTGGGGCCAGCTTGAGATACAGAGACCATGTGTCAAAAAAACAAATAAGCTGGAAAGCAAATCTATCCTATTCCACAATGAATTTTGATTAAAACTGATAATAAAATCAGATAAAATTCCAAGACAAGGCTTTTTTGAAAATAATAAGTAAGAATTGCATAAGATAGCATGTATGTGTGTATGTATGTATATAATATACTGTATTAAGATTGTATCTGTGGTGTCACTGTTACCTTGCTATGTCAAGCTGGAAATGTTGCTGTGGTCTGTACAACCTGACTTGTCTTATTGGAAGGCATATTTTTCTCTGTTTTGATGCTCTGAACTAGTAGGTTGGATCAATAATAAATATGTGGGAATTCTAGGGGAATTTTGTTTGTTTGTTTTTTAGACATTATTTTTCTGCGTAGGTCTGGAGCCTTTCCTGGAACTAGGTCTTGTAGACCAGGCTGGTCTCGAACTCACAGAGATCCACCTGCCTCTGCCTCCCCAAGCACTGGGATTAAAGGTGTGTGCCACCACTCCCCCGATGGGGAAGGGGGTTAAGGAAAGAAAATTCTGTTATGGATTAAAGTTTTTATTTTATTTTGAGATAGGTTCTTTCTAGTCCTGGCTGGCCTAGAACTCACAGAGATTTTTCTGCCTCGAAAGTGCTGGGATTAAAGACTTGTACTCTGGCTTAGATCTCTTTGTTCAGGATCGGTTCTGTAAATTAGGATTAAATTCACTAATGAGCCAATTAAAGCCGTTCTAACAAGGAATGAACTTGATTGAAGCACTAGTCCCTAGGACCCACATGGTTGGAGAGAGGTTAGCCTTTGACAGACAAAAATAAATAAATTACAGTATTACTGTCAGTATTATGCTCAAGGCTATGGGCCAAAAGTTACTTTGAACTGTATATTTATGTGCATTTCCCTCTCTGTTTACAGGCTGCTATATGGCAAGCACTAAACCACTATGCTTACCGAGACGCAGTTTTCCTCGCAGAACGACTGTATGCAGAAGGTTTGTGATCTATCCATTTATATAGAACCATAAATAAATAAATAAAATATATGGAATTCGTGTGTGTTTGGGTGTGCATGCAGAAGCCATAGGACAACCTTGGGTATTGTTTCTCTGACTTTGCTTTTTTACTTTTACTTTTTTTGAGATAGTCTGTCTCTGGCCTAAAACTTTTCAAGTAGGCTAGGCTGTCTAGCCAGTACGCCCCAGAATTCTCCTCTGTCTACCTCCTTAGTGCTGCAGTTATAAGCATGTGCCAGCTTCTTTATAGAGTCCTAAGAACTGAATTTAGGTTCTGGTACTTTCAGCGAGCACTTTACTGACTTGAGAGCCTTTCCAGCCATTAGTTTTGAGACAAGTTCTCACTCTGTCCTTGAACTCTCAACTGCCCTGCCTCGGTCTCCCAAGTTCAGGGGTGTGGTCCTGAGCCACTGTGTCTTGTGTAGCTCTGGCTATCCTGGAACTCTTTCTGTAGACTAGGCTGGCCTTATTCACAACAATCCTCCTGCATCTGCCTCCCAGATTCGAGGCACACACCACAATGCCCAACCAACATTGTTATTTTCTCCAGGCCAAAAAATTTTTTTTTTTCTTTTTTTTTTTTTTTTTTTTTTTTTTTTTATGGGGCAGCATTATGCTGTGATGTGTATGGAAGTGCAAAGTAACTTGAAAGAATTGTTTCTCTTCTTTCTTTGGGTCCTAGGGATTTAATTCAGGTCCTCAGGCTTGGCAGAAGCACCATTACCAACTGAGCCATCTCCCAGACCCCAAACTTTTATTTGTCTTGGATATAATTTAGTGTTTGGTGTTCCAGAAGAACAATTTTTTTGGTTGTTTTGTTTTTCAAGATAGGGTTTCTCTGTAGCTTTGGAGGCTGTCCTGGACCTCACTCAGTAGACCAGGCTGACCTCGAATTCCCAGAGATCCACCTGCCTCTGCCTCCTGAGTGCTGGGACTAAAGGTGTGCGCCATCACCACCTGGCCACAGAGAAGAACAGTTTTTTTTAATGCATCCATTTCAATGCAAAAAATTGTGACTCAAGTAATAAGGTTTATTTTCCCTTCCTAGTTAAATTTAACTTTTGTCTTCCCAAGAAGTCTATTTAGAAAAACATTACCTAGAATATGATGCTTTCCTGATGGTCTGTTGAAGGGTAAAGGTGTGTGTTTGCATTTCTTCTGTATTTATATATAATATATATATATATATATATATTATAAAACTTTTTTTTTCCTCTTTGTCTCTATAGCTTGACTGGCCTAGTACTTGAAGTGATTTATTTGCTTCAATCCACTGAGTGCTGAGGTTAACTTTTCTGTTAAGAATTGATTTCTCCATGACTCAGATTTGAATTAATAATTGTTTTTTAATTAAATGATGTACTTAATTTCTTGTTGATAAACTTGTTTATTGACTAAATACTATGTAATATGCTGAATACTAGCTAATTTATCTTTTTTTCTTTTTAATGTCTTAGTACATTCAGAAGAAGCCTTGTTTTTACTGGCAACCTGTTACTACCGCTCAGGAAAGGCATATAAAGCATATAGACTCTTGAAAGGACACAGTTGTACCACCCCACAGTGTAAATACCTGCTTGCAAAATGTTGTGTTGACCTCAGCAAGTAAGTATTAAAATCTTCTTTAGCTAGTCTTGTTATACTTCCATTGAATTTTGGATCAAATTCTTCTAACTCTTGATTTCCTTTCCTCTCTCTTGAGTAACAATTGAAATGTTTGCACCATTGACTGTGGTGTTAATTTGGTCATGGGAAATTCCATTAAATTGGTATAAATAATTATTTTTGGTGCTGGGGATCTCTAACCCCAGGCTTCATGCAAGCTGAGAACACTCTTACTAATTAAGTTATACTAGGCTCTGGCACAGTGGTAAAGCGCTTGCCTAGCATGTGTGAGGTTTTGGATTCAGTTCATTGGACTGTCAAACAAAACTAACTCAGCTGTATTCTAAGTCTGAAATAACTAATTCTTACCAGTTTCCAAAATGATCACTACTCTCATTTCCTATGGCTTTCATAAACCTAGAAAGATGATAGTTAACCAAAGAATAATGTATGTAGGTAATACAGTTTCCTTTTGAGGTCTTTTAAGAATTACTGCCTACCCCTACCATTTGAAGTAAGGGGCTTATGAAAGAGCATTTCTCTTTTAACTAAAGTTAAACTAAGGCAGCTGTCCATATTCCAAATCTTGTGACAGCTGGAACTATAGATTAAACTCTTTTCTGTGATGTAGAAGATGAAATGCTGGCATAAGTGTCTAAAGAGATATTTGTAAAAGTCATATGTGTGCTTAGTTTGTAACCTTTTAGTTAAAGGTAACTCAATTAGCTATTTATTTTTGGTTACTTAAAAATCCAAAGATTTTGCTAGGTGTAGTTGTACACACCTTTAATCCCAGCCCTTGGGAGACATAGGCAGGTAGACTTTTTCTGAGTTCAAGGCCAGTTTGGTAAGTTACATAGTGAATTATAGGATAGCTAGGGCTCTGCAGAAACACCCAATCAAAAGTAGCAACAAAAGTTGGGTAGTGCACTCTTTTAGTCCCAGCACTTGGGAGGCAGAGGATGGATTTCTCTAAGTTCAAGGCCAGCTTGGTCTACAGATCGAGTTCCAGGACAGACTCCAAAGCTATACAGAGAAACCCTGTCTCAAAAAAAGCAAAAACAAAAAGCCCAAAGTATTTAATGTTGAAATCTTAAAAATCAACTTTTTTATTTAAAAAAGAAAAAGTGCCATTGAGATCAAAAGATATTAAGCAACTTAAGATGTCTCCACATAATGGGGCTGGCAAAGTGATTTCAGCTGGTCAACACAAATGCGACAACCTGAGTTTGATTCCCCTGATCCACATGGTAGGGGAGAACCCTTTAGGTTCTCCTCTGTCACAGGTGCTGTCATGGCTTGTGCACACACCCCCAGTAAATAAATAATTAGCAATAAAAAAATTTTTTCTTGATTGTAATTTAGTATTTAGTGTTTGAGAGGAGCAGTGTTTTTAAAATCCATCCATTTTAATGTAGAAATATTGTTCAGCCTAATAATGAGAGTTTTTGTTTTGTTTTTTTTCAACCTTCAGTTTAAAAAAGCCTGGTATGGTAATGTACACCTTTAATCCCAGCACTCGGGCAGAGGCAGGTAGATCTGTGAGTTGGAGACCAGCCTGGTCTACAGAGTGAGTTCCAGGATAGCCAGGCCCTATCTCTGGAGAGAGATTTCTTTAGTTTAGAGCACTGGTTGCTCTTTTGAAGGACCTGGCTTCAATTACTAGCAAACACATAGTGCTCACAACAATCTGTTATCTTCAGTTCTAAGGGATCTGATTCTCTTCTGGCCTCTGTATGAACACATGTACACATGGTACACAAACATACATGCAAGCAAAACACCCATACAAATAAAACTTTTTAAAAATATTAAATATAGGCTGGGTGGTATTGGTACATGCCTTTAATACTAGCACTCAGGAAGCAGAGGTAGGCTGATCACTATGAATTCGAGGCCAGCCTGATCTATAGAACAAGTTCCAGATTAGCCAGGGCTACACCGAGAAACCCTGTCTTAAAAACGGTGTGTGAGAGAGAGAGAGAGGGAGAGAGAGAGAGAGAGAGAGAGAGAGAGAGAGAGAGAGAGAACACATGTACATATATATAATAAAAACTTTAAAGGTCAGACCATTGCAAACTTTGTTTTGCTGAAAATGCATTATGAAATCATGTTTTTCCCCCATTTAGAGAATTTTTCTTTTTTGGAGCCTATCCTGGCACTCACTCTGTAGACCAGGCGGGTCTCGAACTCACAGAGATCCGACGCCTGCCTCTGCCTCCTGAATGCTGGGATTAAAGGCGTGCGCCGCCACCACCCATCATGAAGTGATACTCTTATATCATACTTTTTGTTGTTGTTTTATTTTTGAGACAGGGTTTCTCTGTGTAGCTCTGGCTGTCCTGGAACTCACTCTGTAAACCAGGCTGGCCTCAAAATCACAGAAATCCATATGTCACTGCCTCGTGAGTGCTGGAATTAAAGGTGTGTGCCACCACCCAGCTCATACTTTATTCTTAAAATGGTGCTTGCATGATGATTTAGCATGTAAAGGCACTTGCCAACAAGCCTGACATTCTATAGAGTTTGCTCCCTAGCACCCACTTGGTGAAAGAAAAGAGCCTGTTTCTACAAGTTGTACTCAGACCACCACATACATGCTTGTAGTACACACAGACACACAAAATAATTTAATTTTTATGAAATCTTAAAATGGCCTTGGGCAGTAAACAGATACAGTTTTGCATGCACATTTCTCTTTCAAGGAATTACAGAATGAAGAGGGATCATATTTGTTTGTAAAGTCATTCACATTCCCCTCAAATGATCTTCTATTTGTTTTAGTATGAATAGTACATTTGCTACTCAGACTAGATTTGTCAATATAGAAATTGAATTTTAATGAGTTCTGATTTTAAAGGCAGGACTAAAAATGTAAGGTCAAATTTCTAGCTTCCCAATGATTTTAGTACATGATTGCCACTATTCTAAAAATACCTTAACTTTTTGATGTATCTGTCAATTAGACTCATAATGATAATGAAAGATATCTTCATCAAAAGCTTTTTATATTGACATTAAAATTATTTTATATTTTAAAGGCTTGCAGAAGGGGAACAAATCTTATCTGGTGGAGTGTTTAATAAGCAAAAAAGCCATGATGATATTGTCACTGAGTTTGGTGATTCAGCTTGCTTTACTCTTTCGTTGTTGGGACATGTATATTGGTAAGTAAGAAAAGGGTCTCCTGTCTAAGAGTGCTCTGTACTGTGCAATATAGCCTATATTGATATGTGTAACAGGTACGAGTTGGTCTTGTAGTTCCTAACCTTTCTCATTATGACCTCATTAAATCTGTTAAACAGTAGAAGTGTTGATCCCATTTACCCTCCACATAGCTTAGCTGCAGCAACTTGAACAAATTCTTAGGTGAAGAGACCACATCTATGTGATTTAATCAAGTGTTTCTTGCCTAAAACTTAACCTAGTAGTCATCAGACCCCATCCATCCTCTGTCTCCACCTCCCACAGCACTGGAGTCACAGACCCACTTATGGGCATACCCAGCTTTTTAGACATGGGTACTGGGTATTTGAATTCAGGTCCATGTGCTTGTTTTTTCATTGAGCATTCTTGTACTTGGAGCCAACTCCACAGCCCCTTTATTTTTCTTTTCCTCAACCTTGTGTTGACAATATCCATGGATTGGTTTGCTGCTTTAACTTTATTGCTTTCAGAAAATGGCTTTTATGCCTTTTCTTCATTTCCTATTTTTAAGTTATTTCTGTATTCTGGTAGGTGATTTAGTCAGACTTATGACAATTATTTTTCCTTTATTTCATCTGAATGGTCTTAGGTATGGTATGGTTTTTCTGCCTCCTGTTCATCCTCTCTTTGTCCATGTTTATTGTTTTTATATATAACACTTTTCTTTTCCTGTCAGTGCTGAACTAAGTAACTCTTGATTGTGAGTCCCCCACCCAGCCCACATTCTTTTTTTTTTTCTTTTTTGGTTTTTCGAGACAGGGTATATATATATTATATATATATATATATATATATATATATATATATATATATTATATATATTCTCCCTTGAAAACTTAGAGGTGAGACTGACTTGCTAGTTGTCTGCAGAGTTTTACACTTCAGGCGTTACATCAACATCAACAGGCTGTGCATGGAGCACTGTGTTTTATCCCATAGTTTCACTTCAGGACAGTGGCTCTCAGCCTTCCTAATGCTGCAACCCTCATGTTGTGGTGACCCCCCTACCATAAAATTATTTTAGTTACTACTTCATAATTGTAATTTAGCTACTGTGTGATGAATCATGATGTAAATAACTATTTTTCTATGGTCTTAGGCCACCCCTGTGAAAGGGTCATTCAACCCTAAAGGGGTTGCAAACCATAGGTTGAGAACTGGTTCAGAATGTTCCTTTGAAAATTTTGATTTCACACCATCTGGTTTTTTAAAACCTTAAGGCTTTTGAATGAGGCTGGGTGTTGGTAGTGTATGCCTGTCACCTCTCAGTATTTGGGAGATAGAGGCTTGAGGATCAGGTATTCAAGGTCATTTTCCACCATGTAGAATTTGAGGACAGCTTTGGTTATAGGAGACCCTGTCTCTACAAACAACAAAAGTAAGAATTTCTGTGGCATTTTTTCCCCCACCACACGAACACCCCCAGTAGATAGTAAAGGATTTGAACTTTGGACCAGCTGGGGTTTTTTGTTTTTTTTTTTGTTTTTGTTTTTGTTTTTTTTTTTGTTTTTTTTTTTGTTTTTGTTTTTGTTTTTTTTTTTGCTTTTATGTTTTGTTTTTTTTTGTATTTTAAACTGAAAGTAATCTTTAACTACTGACCCCTCCTTTTTTTCCATTTTAAAAGATTAGGATGCAGTAGGGCCATTCTGATACTTCCCAGAGGGGTCAGAGTATAATTGGTTCCAGTGCCTGTTGGGGCTGGGCATGGAGGTGTGGATTTAACTCCAAAATCTAATCTTTTCTATACCTGATTAGAAAGACTATCATCAGTCTCCCTCTTCATTAAAAACTAAGCTCACCAGGCCTTGATGACGTCTCAGTGAGTTCGAGGGCAGCCTGGTTTTAGGTCTACAAAGTGAGTTCCAGGACAACCAGGGCTACACAGAGAAACCCTGTTTTGAAAACACACACACAAATCTGACCATTTAAATATTTGTATTTAAATCTTGTAAATTGCTTTCAAAACTACCATTGGAGTGTTAGATAAGCAAGAGTACAATTGAAGCATTGGATGTCTTTTCTATCACTGTGTCAGTCACTGTGTATGGCCCTTGGCTGGCCTGGAGTTCACTAGAAGACCAGACTGGCCTTGAACTCCTACACATTCTTCTGTGTATGCCTCCCAAGTGCTGAGATTAGAAGCATGTGTGTTCCACCACACCCAGTCTTGTCTTTTATCTGCCAAGAAGTTAAATATCTAAGAATGCAGTGAGACCTGAGCATGATAACAGAACCTTGGAGTCTAAGGCAGGGAGATTGAGTTTGAGGTTAGTTGGAGCTACATGAATGACATCTCAGAGAACAAGAGATATTCAGAATTTAGGGAAACATCCAAAAGAGTGCTATAAGAATTCATATAAGATTGATCTAATTTTTATATCAATAATTATAAGAAAAGCTTTGGTGTTTATAGTTTGTTTAATCTATTGTTTCTCTCCACAGCAAAACAGATCGGCTTGCCAAAGGATCAGAATGTTACCAAAAGAGCCTTAGTTTAAATCCTTTTCTCTGGTCTCCCTTTGAATCCTTATGTGAAATAGGTAAGTTTATGGAAGTGGGGACATGATCCTTTGTTTGTTTGTTTGTTTTTCTTTTTTCGAGACAGGGTTTCTCTGTATTACTTTAGAGCCTGTCCTGGAAGTTTCTCTCTATTACTTTAGAGCCTGTCCTGGAAGTTGCTCTGTAGACCAGGCTGGCCTCGAACTCACAGAGATCCACTTGCCTCTGTCTCCCTAGTGCTGGAATTAAAGGCATGCTCCACCAATGCCCAGCAACAGGATTATTTTTTGTTTTTTCTCTCTTTTCAAGCAATGTTTTTCTACCAATTTTTTGAAAACTTCAAATCATTTAGTTATAAGAAACTATTTTGCAAGATAAGGGTTGTTAAAATAATAGATATGATCCCAGAGGGATAGCACATGCCTGTAATCACAGTACTAGAGATACAGAGTTGGAGCTTCTTAAGTTTAAGGCCAGCTTCCGTTATGCTGTGTGACTAACCTTACTTGCAGGAGACCCTGTCTCAAAAAAGCAGTCCCCTCTTATAATCACTAATCTCTTCTCTTTATCCAGTCTACCTTAAATGTATGTGTCCTCCAGGATAGATGATGGCTATGTATATAACACTAGCCAAGATCATTTTCTGTATGGGGGTGGGGGAACCACTAACAGAATTCCTTAGTGTGGTGTGTATGTGTGAATTGACATGTATGTGCCACATAGCACATATGACAACTTTCAAGGGTCAGCTCTCCCCTTCTATCTCGTATGTCTCAGGGATTTAACTCAGGTTTTCAGGTTGGGTAACAGACCTTTACCACTGAGCCATCTTGTTGGCCCAGATTTATATATAAAACATGTAATTATTTTCCAGATTTACATCTTTAAGGATTAACTTCCACAATAAGTTAATTCTTGGGCTTTGGGAAGGTAAGATTGATTAGGATTAAATGGACAGGACAATTTTGGAAACTAAGACTTTATTTCTGCCTGATTATCCATACTGAGATTATCCCTCAGAGGCAAATTTTTGTTTTGTTTTTTTGTCTTTTGGTCTTCACAGGTGAAAAGCCAGATCCTGACCACACATTTAAATTAACATCTATACAGAATTTTAGCAGCTGTCTACCCAACACTTGTACAACTCTAGTATCTAATCACAATTTATCTCACAGACAGCCCGAGACAGTCCTTACAGAAACACCCCAGGACACAATTGTAAGTGTATTTCTTCTAACGTTCAAAATATTCTGAAACCCCAAAAGAATGATCAGAACTAAACAGTGTATCATAAGTGACATGGTAGAAAATTTCTGTTTCAGGAATTAAACAGACTGAACTTAGAATCTTCCAATTCAAAGTACTCCTTGAATACAGATTCCTCCGTGTCTTACATTGATTCAGCTGTAATTTCACCAGATAACGTCCCCCTTGGAACGGGTACTTCCATATTATCTAAACAGGTTCAAAATAAACCAAAAACTGGTCGAAGTTTATTAGGAGGACCAACTGCTCTTAGCCCATTAACCCCAAGGTAAGTCACATAAGATTTTTTAAAATGTATTATAATACAAATAATCATTGGTGAATCATATTAGTAATGTAAGTTAATATAAACAAGCATCTTTCAAATTGGTATACGAAAGTGGCATTCTGAAGAAATACAATACATGTATAAAATTTTTGAATTAAATGTAAGAGGGCTGTTATTTTAGGTCACTTGGTAGAGTGTTTGCATAGCATGCACAAAGCTTGGGTTTGAGCCTCACTGTGTAAATTGGGCAAGGTTTCAAAAGTATGTAATCCTAGTACTTGGGAGGTGGAAGCAGAAAGATCAGAAGTTCAAAGTTATCTTTAGCTATTAGTTAGAAGCCTATGATATGTGATGCCCTTTCTCAAAATAAGAACGAAAATAAAGCAGAGGGAAAAAAATTAAAACTTTTAAAATATGTCCCATTAGTATATGTATTCAAAGATACTATCTTTATGGCTGTACATCTGCAGATAGCAGTGAAACCTTTGAAATACATGTTTATAGTATAGTTATGACCATATTATCAATTCTCTTTTCTAAAACATTATTGAGAATTGGCACCTATCATTGTAAAATATGTTGTCAAAACTATTAAAACTATATGATATATGTATGTTTACAATAACCCATCACAAAGGCTACATATTGAGAACTATGAAACAAAACTCAAAAAGAATAGACTATGCATAGTCTCGAGGCCAGGAAGCTATTGAAATAGCATGATTAGGGCATCTGCAGAGACCAATGAATAACTATATCAGATAATTGTTAGGTAGTTATCTCTAGGACTTTGTCTCCATTGTTCCAAAAATTGGAATGTATTTTTATCATTTGGATCTTAGCTTTTAAAGGCAGTCTATTTCCAAAGCAATAGCTATTGTTCACTTTAGGTCCTTGTCCTTTTTCTTTAGTTCTAGTGGGTGGAGTACTCTACATTTGCAGCTCATTTTTAAATCTGCCCCTAAGATCCTCACTGCCCCTAAGACTGATTTGCCATTCTCTTCCTTTTAGACCTTCTAATTTAAGTATACTGCTGCTTTATATATGCCTTGATGACTTTTTGACACCTTGATTTCAACCTCTTCTCAGTTTTGGGATTTTGCCATTAGAAACCCCAAGTCCTGGAGATGGATCCTATTTACAAAACTACACTAATACACCTTCTGTAATTGACGTGCCATCCACCGGAGCCCCTACAAAAAAGGTATTTTCTGTGTAAAATGCAGTTTGGGTATTGATTAAAGAAACTTACTTAAAATTCCAGTCTATTTCAGAGGGAATTCAGTTTTATATAATTATTTCCTTAGAGTTACTGACCAAACTGTAAAAGAATGTTGTTGTCATAGCCTACCAGATATATCCAGACACATACATCTAGTTCATTTCATTATCTAATTAAAGAAATGTCCACAAGCTAAGATGGTTTCTATCACATTGAACAATTATGTCAGACAAGGCAAGCAAAATCCAGTAAATGAAACATTAGAAAAACTAAAAAGAAATAATGATGCAGAAGAACAGTATCCTTAGAATTTAGAAAGGGACTAGGTGGTTTTTTTGTTTTGTTTTGTTTTTTGTTTTTTAATTTCCTCAGATTCCTATTTAACTGTTTTACTAAGTGAAAAAGGAAGAATATAAAATCATGCTGTATATATTTCCTTTTATTTATTAATTAATATTGAGACTAATAGCTGTCTTTTTAAATACAATATAGTGATAGTAATGATTGTTTTAAGATGGCATTATATATTCAGAACTGTTTTCTTTGAGAAAATACAGATAGAAACACTATAGTGTCTTTTATCGTTTGCAGTGCAATCTATAATCACAAACCTTAGACTTTTTGTGTTTTACAGTCTGTTGCCAGAATGGGCCAAACTGGAACAAAGTCTGTCTTCTCACAGAGTGGAAATAGTCGAGAAGTCACTCCAATTCTTGTCGCACAAACACAAAGTTCTGGCCCACAAACAAGGTATTTATTATATTTCTTCAAAGTAATATATATGCTCCTTCAAGATTATTTCCTTCTTAGGTAGACATATGGCCTCTTTAGAGCAAGTACAGCTAGATTGGTTTCTTTCTTTCTTTCTTTCTTTCTTTCTTTCTTTCTTTCTTTCTTTCTTTCTTTCTTTCTTTCTTTTGTTTTGTTTTTGAGACAGTGTCCTGGAAATCAGTATGTAACCAGGCTAAGATCAGGCTACCTCCACCTCCCAAGTGTATGCCACCACACATAGCAAATAGAGATTTCATTCTCTCTCATTATTTATTTCTGTACACGGGTCATAAAATCAGACTTCCGATTCAGAAGCCTTAGAACTGTCACAGATGACAGTCTTGCCTGTCTAAGAGGAGTCACCCTACCTGTGGTATGGAGTGGTGATTCTAATGGGGAATACCCGGTTGCCCGGGTCCTATTAGAAGAATTATTTGTGTGGTTGTTTCAGGGTCTTTTGTTTTGCAGGGCAGGCAGTTGTTACTGTTTTATTGTTTTTCCTTTTGACCCTGGATGGTCAGGAACTCATTGTGAAGCCCACACTAGCTTTGTACTGGAAGCAGACCTCCTGCCTCAGCCTCCTATATGCTGGCAGGGTTCACTTCCTAAGCTACAGTAATGAAGTGCAGACTGAGCTCCTGATCTGGGAGTCCAAACTTCTTTTGAACAAGACCTTGAATACCAGTATTACAGAAAAGGCTTCAGATTTTGGAGTTGTTCAGATGAGGAGTGCTTAACTAGTAAGGATTTTTATACAGTATCACAAAATCCAGAATTACTGAAATCTGAAATACTTCTCATCTCAAGCATTTTGCCCAAGTGTTACTGAGACTGTTTCACAAACGGGGTGTCTTAAAAAACAAATTTATTCTCTTCCTTTTTTCTTTTCTTTTTTTTCTGAATTCCATGTTGCTAACAATCTCTCCTAGCTTTAAAACATGTTAAGTTTGAAATCAGAATGTTGACGGGAACATTTCCTCACTAAAGTCTATAAGGAGGATCTTTCTAGTTCAGGCCCTCCTTAGATTTGTGCCAGCATAATTCAGTGTTTGCCTTTGTCTTGACAAGACGGTGTCTATATCTAGATTTCCCTCCTGTACGGGCGTCAATCATACTGGATCAGTATTCACCTTAATGACCTCATCTTAACTTGATTACATATGTAGAGACCCCATTTTCCAGATGGGTCTGGGCAGTAAGACTGGTATTTTTTGAGAAACCCAATTGAGTACTGCCATATTAGCAACAAAGCATTGCTTGGCAGCTTTCTCTTCTTAGAGAAGCTTCTTAGAGAAGGGCTTACAGTGTATATTTCAGTGTATCAAATGTGCCTCCCCTCTGTGTAATGTGAAGCCTGACAGTGGTTCATTTTGACACTCTTAGGGAATGTTATTACAGTGTTTTATATCCATATATATTATAACCCCACAATATACATTGTTTAAACCTTAAACCAGTCATTTTCTTTTATAAAAAGAAAAGCAGTCTATTTAATTTTTATTCACATATCTAGTATTGCTCGTGGTCTTTCAGCAGATTCACTCCAATCTGGTATCATTTTCTTCCATCTCCTGTAGTCTCAACTGGTATTGATTTGTTTTTTCTTTTTTCTTTTTATTTTTTTTTCACGTTCTGACTGGAGTTTCCCCTCTCTACTTTCTGGAAGTCTTTCTATTTTCTAGGCTAGCCTCACTAGGCTCAAGCAGTCCTCTTACTTCAGCTTTCCAAGTAGCTAGAATGACAAGTGGGTAATACTGTACCCAGATGTCATTGTTTTTTGTTGTTGTTGTTTTACAGTTTTTCAAGACATGGTTTCTCTGTGTAACATTCCTGGCTGTCCTGGAATTCATTTATAGACCAGACTGGCCTCAAACTCACTGAGATCCACCTGCCTCTGCCTCTCAAGTGCTAGGAAGAGCTGCCTGGTGAGGGACTATTCTAGATTAGATTGGTCTGGGGATTCGTCTATGAGAGCTTTTCCTAATGGGTTAATTGAGGTGGGAAGACACACCCTGAACATGGACAGCACCTGTTTGTGAGCTGAGCTCTAGACTGAACACGACTCTGCTTCCTGGCTGTGGATTAAAGTGACCAGCTTTATGGAGCTTCTGCTGCCATGACCTCCCTAAACCCCACAATGATCTACCTGTGAGCTAAAACAAACCCTTTGTCTCTTACATTGCTTTTGCCAAGAGTATTTGAAAACCAAGTTGGACAACTGGTAGAATTACCCATAAGTTATGAAGGATTTAGATTTAGTCCATAAGCTGTCTGCTTCCCCTTCTCCCTTTTATACAGGGTCTCATGTGTCCTAGGATGCCTGCAAACTTGCTATGTATCTGAGAATGACCTTAAACTACTAGCCTACCTCCCTCCACCTCCAGAGTGCTGGGATTACAAGCCTTCAGCAATATACTAGATTTCTGTGATGCTAGAGAGCAAACACATGGCTTTGTGCAATGCTAAGGAGCTGTATTCTCAGACCCATTGCCTTTTGTTGTTGTTGTTGTTATTTGAAACAGAGTCTCACTGTACACCTTACCCAATCTTAATTAGACCACTTTAGGGTTTAAGTTTACTTTGTTCTATTTTCTTTTGAGACAAGGTCTCATTCTGTAGCTCAGACTGACCTTTAATTGAGAACCATCTGTCTCAATTTTCTTTATTATAGAAATTATCGGCATTATTGCTACCATGCCCAACTAAGTTTAATTGAATTCCAAGAATAGAATTCTTGGGGTTGGAGAGATGGCCCAGTGGTTAAGTTTGCTTTTTATTGCAGAGAACCTAGCTGCACTTCCCACCACCTACTTTGGGTGTCTTACAATTGCCTGTAACTCCAGTTTTAGGGAATCTGATGCCCTCTTCTAGCCACCTGCACACCTGTGGTACATATATGTTCATGCAGCACTGGTGTGTGTGCATAATACAAAACATAGAAGGGTGTAGAAGTACACACCTTTACTCACAGCACATGGGAGACTGAGTTTGAGGCCAGCCTGCTCTGCATAGTGAATTCCAGGACAGCCAAGGGATACATAGTAAGATCTTTCGAGTGAGTGAGTGAGTGAGTGAGGAGGGCAGAGAGAGGGAGAGGAGTGTGAGAGTTTGCAATTGGGTCAGATTGATGGCTTAGCAATTGAGTACTTTCTGCTCTCATAGCGGACCACCATTTAGTTTCCAACATCAACATGGTGATTCACAGTGGCCTGTAACTCTAGTCCAGGGGATACAGCACCCTCTTCTGGCTTCTGCAGGCACCAACTGTCCTTGTGGTGCACTTAGGTACATGTAGGCAAAAAATTCATAGACATAAAAATGACTTTTTTTTTTTAAAGATTTTATTTATTTATTATATATACAACATTCTGCTTCCATGTATATCTGCATACCAGAAGAGGGCACCAGATCTCATAACAGATGGTTGTGAGCCACCATGTGGTTGCTGTGATTTGAACTCAGGACCTCTGGAAGAGCAGCTGGTGCTCTTAACCTCTGAGCCATCTCTCCAGCCCCCCAAAAATAACTTTTTAAAGTAGAATTCTTCTGTCGTGTGGTTTGCCTTACAAGTAGACCTGTATACAAGTGATGATCATACTCTTGTCCAAGTGAAATAAAACTTTAGTTAGTTAAGCGTCTATTTATTCTAGTAGTATTTGTTTATTGACAGATTCTGTACATTTAAATTATTCATGCCCAACTTTTCCTTTTACTTAACATTTTGTACTTGCCAGTGGGTGCTCCAGACAATTGTCTAAAGATGTGTTTTTCCTTTATTCACTCTGAAGTTTCTTGTGGATTACTTTAAATAAAAATGTCTAATTTCAGTTAGTGAAGATTTTCGCAGCACTCTTTCTCGCACTCTATAATAAATGGGATTTGTGTTGTTGTTGTGGGTTTTGGGGGGAGGGTGTCATGTGCATGCTGGTACATGCTATGCACTCAGGCCAAGATTGCAGCGTTACCTGGGTCTAGACTGACTGGCAGTTGTGAGCCACCCAGAATGGGCACTAGGAACAAAGCTTGGGTCCTCTAGGTGAGCATCAAGTACTTTTAACCAGTGAGCCATTCTGTTAGCTTCTTAATTTTTAAATTCTGAGTTTTCGTAGAGACCCAAAAGGAACTAAACAGAACCAGTTTTAAAATATTTCTATGATGAATGCATGTTTTAATAAAATAGAATTGAGACAATAGTTAATGGTCATAAGCTAAATATTAAACGTTTCTGTTTGTTTTAGTACAACACCTCAGGTATTGAGCCCCACTATTACATCTCCCCCAAATGCATTGCCTCGAAGGAGTTCCCGCCTTTTCACTAGTGACAGCTCAACAGCCAAGGTAAGGATGACTGTCATGGTCATTTACTGTGCTAAGATTTCTGTGCATTGCTTGGCCCCATCTCAAGCAAGCAAAGGGTTTGTTTTCACCTTGTTTAGAGGACTCCCTATGGAGCTCAGGCTGGTCTGGGAATTTGCCGTCCTCCTGCTTTAGCTTCTCGGGTGCTGGGACTACACAGGTGCACCACCATGCTGTACTAAATCATTTTTACGTGGTGAGCTAGCTATAATTTTTGTTGCTCTCTTTGGTTCTTGGGTAAATATGTCATTCTTGAAATGACCAAATTATAATAAAAATGTCAGCGTCTTAATCAGGAAATAAGGCTGGAGGGAAGATAAAACTATTTAAATGTAGTACAAATGGATTTTTTGTTCTGGAAGAATAATCCTATATCATAAATGTTGTGGTTGCTTGCACAAATGCATTTGTTTGATAAAATTACTCTATATATACACATGCAAAAGAATTGATATAAGTGCTGGGAAATGTCCATGGTTCTGTAGCTTACATGTTACCACTGAGGAAAGAATGAGTGGAGATTTAGTCACGTTACTATCTTCCTAGAATTACTTTAAAGGTAAAAGCAAAAGATGAGAGAACGCTTTGTTTCTTGGTCTTCTGACTGACGTGAATAATTTACCTTTGATACATCCAGTTAGTGGTTTTATACAATTGATTACAGTGCTTTGATATAGTTAATTTTGCATTTTGTTACTTTTAAATAGTGATTTGAGAATGTGATCCACTCTGAAGAGAGCTGCCCTTGGTGCAGAATAACATCAGTCACTATTAATTGTGTGGCTTATTGTTGTATTTAAAATGAAAATGACTGGGCTGTTGACTCATTCCTGTGATTCTAATATTTGGGAGACTAAAATATGAGTATTGCTTCAAATTTTAGGTCAGCATGAGCCAAAAAGTAAGACCTTGTCTCAAAACAAAAAACAAGCAAAAAAAAAAAAATTGCTTTTTGAAGACTTTTTTTTTACATATAGAATTTCTGATAAGGAAAACAAAAGACTGTTGAGGATTATGCATTTCTTTTACATGAGTACTCAAGAAAACGTAAATGGAGACATCTAAAATAATGAGTATGACAAGCATGACATTTTATCCCTTTTTACAGGAGAATAGCAAAAAGCTAAAAATGAAGTTTCCACCTAAAATCCCAAACAGAAAAACAAAAAGTAAAACTAACAAAGGAGGAATAACTCAACCCAACATAAATGATAGTCTGGAAATTACAAAATTGGACTCTTCTATCATTTCAGAAGGGAAATTATCCACAATCACTCCTCAGATCCAGGCCTTTAACCTACAGAAGGCAGCTGCAGGTCTGTTGTAAATGTTTCTGTGGTTCTTGTGTCTTTAGTTTATTATACACTTATTTTGATAAGTTTCTTCATGCCTTCATTGTTCTTAGATAAATACTGGCATTAAAAATGTTCGGTTTTATGTTTTTAAATTTGTGTCCTTTTTTGTATTTCTGTTGAATATATATGCCTACAGAAGCCAAAATAGGTGTGAATCCTATACTGGAATTACAGATAGATGATTGTGGGCTGCCATGTGGATTCTGGGAACTGGATGGAAAATGCTCTTAACAACTGAGCACCCTTAAAACATTTTTAAATTGTATTTGAGAGAAAGATTGTGTGTGCGCATGTGTGCATGTATAGGTTAGTCATGGGAATCAAACTTGGGTCACCCGGCTTGGTGGCAAGAGCCTTTAACCACCAAGCCATCTTGCCAACCAGATACTGGAACTATATTTTAAAGGAGTAATCTGGTTAGCTTTTTTAGAAAACCACAGTTGTGTTTTTCTCCTTTGTTTATTATATTGTTTTCTCCTAGAAGGTTTGATGAGTCTTCTTCGTGAAATGGGAAAAGGTTATTTAGCTTTGTGTTCATACAACTGCAAAGAAGCTATAAATATTTTGAGCCACCTACCTTCTCACCACTACAGTACTGATAGGGTATTGTGCCAAATTGGACGAGCTTATTTTGAACTTTCAGAATACATGCAGGTAAGTATACAAAGATGCCAGTCCTTCAACTTTTTTTAGTAGTATTTTTTTATTTTCCTGTTTGTATAGATCATAATCACTTGCTTGTTGTTTGTTTGTATAGCTAATGCTTGCTTTGAATTCACTGTATTCTTCCTGCTAGCCTTGAAATCACAGGCATGTGCCACCACACCTGGATCTTTGTAATTGCTTTCCATTTTTATTTTATTTTTGGGAGGCAAGACCTTGCTATGGGCTCACCTTGAGCTCACTGTGTGGCCCAGGCTGGCCTCACACTTGCCACATTCCTCTTCCTTTAGCCTTCATTCCTAGGTAATAATCACTTTTGAAAGATTTCAATAGTTTCTGAAAACTTTGAAGGCAAAAGATACCTGTATATGGCCAATTGCTGTGTCTTATATAGCCTGTGGGGATTCACACACACACACACACACACACACACAGGGTTTCTCTGTGTATCTTTGGAGCCTATCGGCACTGGAGACCAGGCTGGCCTTGAACTCACAGAGATCCACTTGCCTCTGCCTTCCGAGTGCTGGGATTAAAGGCGTGAGCCACCAATGCCCGGCATTGTTGTTGTTTTTTAAGATATATTTATTTATTATTTATTTATTTTGTATTCAGTGTTCTGCCTGCATGTATGTCTGCAGGCCAGAGGAGGGCACCAGATCTCATTACAGATGGTTGTGAGCCACCAGGTGGCTGCTGGGAATTGAACTCAGGACCTTTGGAAGAATAGCCAATGCTCTTAATCACTGAGCCATCTCTCCAGCCCCCTTTTGGAAGTTCCTAGCATACAACTTTTAAGAGAATTGAGATAACTTACAAAACAGCAAATTGACTCTAGATGCCAAATCAAGATGTTTTGGCAAAAGTTTCCAATTTTATAAATGTCCTTTCCTGTAGCTGGAGAATGACTCAATAGCTAAGAACGCTTGCTATACTTGGAGAGATCCAGTTACCAGCACCCACATCAGCTCACAACAGTCTATAACTCCACCTCCAGGAGATCTGATGCCCTCTCTGGCCCTGGGTACCCACATACATGTGGCATACATAGACAAAAGTAGATATTTCAAACAAAAGCCCTTTTCTTATTTTCTGTCATCTTCATTTCATTGAATACAGTCCAAATACTGAATTAAACATTTAAATGTTTTGAATTTACTAAGGTGATGAAACTAGATGATTTGTTGGATTTATAGAGTTTTTAGAACAAGAAGCACAATTCCAGGAATCGTGAACAGTTTGAGGAAAAGAGGAACCTGATAGCTACAGAGAGACCTTAGGAATGGGCAGTTGGTATCCAGCAGATACAGTGCTGGTCATGGGCCAGTGCTCAGTGTGCCCTGGGATTGGCAGCCATCTGACCTTGTATATTCATTCCCTCAGAGTTCCTACCCAGCCTTTCAATTCATTCTCTCCCTGCCCTCTCTTTAAAATTGTATTTTGTATGTGGACCAAACATGTGCCTAGTGCCAGAAGAGGAGGTTAGGTTCCCTGGAACTGCAGTTTCAGATCATTGTGAGCCACCGTATGGCTGCAGGGAAGCCAAAGCCAGCTCCTCTGCTGAGCAGCCAGTGCTCTTAACCCCTGAGCCGTCTCTCCAGCCCCATCTTTCCCCTTTTATAGAAGTTTCAAGTTTCGTGTCTTTACCCATAGATAAAATACAGAAACTGGGCTACATGTGAGTGTGCTTGCTTCAGTGTTTGACTTCCCACAGCTGGCTTGTTCAGTTGTCCTTCTTACTAATTCACATAAAACACAGTCCTTGCAGAATCTAGGGCCTTTGAAGACAGTGACCAGCATTGCCCTGTATGTATGAACTGTAGCAACTTGTTTCCTCTTATTCCTTTTTTATTTCAGGCTGAAAGAATATTCTCAGAAGTTAGGAGGATTGAGAACTACAGAGTTGAAGGTATGGAGATCTACTCTACAACACTTTGGCATCTTCAGAAAGATGTTGCTCTTTCAGTTCTTTCAAAAGATTTAACAGACATGGATAAGAATTCACCAGAGGTATGGTAACAATTTGTTTAATAATAGTCATATTTTTTTACTTGTTTAATGAAGTGTTTATTATTCTTTTTTAATACTTATTTTTTTGTGCATTGGTGTTTTGCCTGCGTATGCCTGTGAGAATGTCCAAATCCTCTGGAATTGGAGTTACAAACAGGTGTGAGCTCTCATGTGGGTGGCTGGGAATTGAACCCAGAACCTCTAGAAGAGCAGCCAGTACTCTTAACATCTGGGCCATTTCTTCAGTCCCCTATTTAATTATTGTTTATCAATAAAAAATCAGGAGTCAGATATCAGTCAGACCTTAGTGATCAGAGAAGCAATTAGTGGCTTCCTCCCTCTTCATTTCTTCCCCCATGTAAAAGGCAGGTATTGTGTAAACTGCTGTAACCCCAGCACTTCTTCAGTGAGGAAACAGGATAGGCAAACCTCTAAAAGCTTTCGGGCAGCTAGCCTGCTGCACATAACAGAACAACACAGACCCTGTCTGTCTCCAGCAAGGTAGAAGTCAAGGGCCAACACCCACACACCTAAATGTCTGCACACACAGTTCCTGGGATCAAAATTAAATTTAGATACAAGAAAAAAATTAGAAACTTAATTTTCTACTTTTTGACAAGTTTTTTTGTTTGTTTTGTTTTTTAATGAAGCATAAAAACTTGTAACTGGCCGGGTGTTGGTGGCACACGCCTTTAATCCCAGCACTCAGGAGGCAGAGGCAGGTGGATCTCTGTGAGTTCGAGGCCAGCCTGGTCTACAAGAGCTAGCTGCAAGACAGTTTGGTCTAAAGAGTGAGTGCCAGGATAGGCTCCAAAGCAATAAAGAGAAACCCTGTCTCAAAAAAACAAAAACGCAAAAAAAAACTTGTAACTGCATGTGTTTTTTGTTTCCATTTTGCCAGGCCTGGTGTGCTGCGGGGAATTGTTTCAGTCTGCAACGGGAACATGATATTGCAATTAAATTCTTCCAAAGAGCTATCCAGGTTGATCCAAATTATGCTTATGCCTATACTCTATTAGGACATGAATTTGTGTTAACTGAAGAACTAGACAAAGCATTAGCATGTTTTCGAAATGCTATAAGAGTAAATCCCAGACATTATAATGCATGGTAAGTGTAAAGACAAAGTCTTATTAAAATCGTGTGTGTCTATCTGTCTGTGTCGCACACATTCCAACTAAGAGTTTGTTTTCTTCTTCCATTGTGTGGTTCCCAAGAATGAACTCAGCTTTCCAGGCTCGGCAGCAAGCACATAGCCCTTAGTGACTTTTCCTTTTTTATATGTATGAATGTTATGCTTGTGTGTATGTTTGTATTATGTGTATCTTGCATGCCTGGTGTCTTCATTAGGGTTTCTATTGTTGCGGTGAAGCACCATGGACCAAAAGCAAGTTGGGGAAGAAAGTGTACACTTCCATATCACTGTTTGTCATTGAAGGAAGTCAAGACAGCAGCTCAAACAGGACAGGAGCTGATACAGAGGAGTGTTGCTTGCTGGGTTGTTCCTCATGGCTTGCTCAGCCTGCTTTTTTGTAGAACTCAGGGCCACAGTCCACCGATAGCACCACCCACTATTTTTGTTTGTTTGTTTTGTTTTTTAATGAAGCATAAAAACTTGTAACTGGCCAGGTGCTGGTGGCACACGCTGTAATCCCAGCACTTAGGAGGCAGAGGCAGGCAGATCTCTGAGTTCAAGGCTAGCCTGGTCTACAAAGTGAGTTCAAGGACAGCCGGAGCTAGCTACCCAGAGAAACCCTGTCTCAAAAAACCAAAAAGAAAGAAAGAAAATGCCCTACAGGCTGGCGCACGACCAGTCTTATGGAGGCATTTTTTCTCTCAGATGATTATAGTTTATGTGAAGTTGACCGTTGTCCACAGAAGATAATCCAATTCCTAGAACTGGAGTTATAGATGGTTATGAACTGCCATGTGGGTTCTGGGAACCAAACCCAGCTCCTCTGTAAGAACAGCAATTCCTATTAACTTCTAAGCCATCTCTCCAGCCACCCTGCCCTTATTTGTTTTCTTTTTTGACACAGGGTTTCTGTAGACCAGGCTGGCCTTGAACTCAAGGATCCCCCTGTGTCTACTTACTGAGTGTTGGGATTAAAGGCATGCATGCTGCTGCATACACCCAGTTTTTAAATCACTCTCTTAAGTAAGAAATGCCTAATAAATTATTGGATACCTAGTACATTGTTTTTAATCTTGTATTTTTTTTTTTTTTAATGAATTGCATATTTGTCCTTTCTGGGTAGTTGCATTGCTGAAAAGATGACCAAAAAGAAATATTACTAATAGACAGTGTAATTTCTGAGATTTTGTTTCTTTATTAGAAAATGGTAATAAGTGTTTTCTTGAGTCTTCTGAGTTTAAACAACATTTAGAATTTAGCCATGAGTGGCTGGAGACATGACTTGAAGAGCACTTGCTGCTCTTGCAGAAGAACTGAGTTGGATTCCCAGCACCCACATGATCACAGCCATCTGTGTTCCAGGGGATTCTGACCTCCTCATTCACCAGACAAAAATGTGATACGCATACATACATGCAGGCAAAACACTAATACACATAAGTAAATATTTTAAATGCAGTGTTTTAAGTATTTTATTTGAAGGATTAACAAAGGATACCAGGAAATGACTCAGTGGGTATAAACCTTGCCACGCAATAAGCTCAAGCCCAGTTGTAATCTAACCTCCTCTCCAGCTGGCATACCATAACACTTGCGAGCATTCACACATCATATACACACAATAATGTACACAGATTTTTAAATAATTTAGCAGAGGAGCTGAAGAGATATTTCCCTCCTTAAGAGTTCTTGGTGCTTTGACAGTGGACCTGTTTTCTGTTCCCAGCACCTACATGATGACTCATAACCTTCTGTAGCTCCAGTTCTAGGGGATCTGATGATCATTTTTTACTTTTTTGAACACTGGGAGTACACATGATATACATACATACATTCAGGCATGTACTGTAACACATAAAATATAAATAAATAATTGGGAGGGGTATTTAGCAGAGCCAAGAGTGATGGTGCATACTCTTATCCCAGTACTCAAGAGACAGAGGAAGATAGATGTCTCAATTTGATGCCAGCCTGGCTTGCCTAGCAAATTCTAGGACAGTCAGGGCTGCATAGTGAGACCCTGTCTCAAAAGAGGGGGAAAAATAAATTTAACAGTATCAACAAGATGTCTCAGTGGCTCAAGGCACTTGACACACAAACCTGGCAACCTCAGTACAATTCCTTGGGACCCACACGATGGAAGGAGTCCTCTAGCCTTCACGTGGGCCCCTCAGCGCGTGCACATACACATAGTATTGGAATGCTTCCTTATAAGTTTCACTTTTTTTTTAAAGATATATTTATTACTTATATGGTGTTCTGCATGCATGCATGCCTGCAGGCCAGGAGAGAGCACCAGATCTTATTACAAATGGTTGTGAGCTACCTTGTGGTTGCTGGGAATTGAACCTGGGTCCTCTGGAAGAGCAGCCAGTGCTCTTAATCACTGAGCCATTTCTTTAACCCCTGTTTCACCTTTTCAGAAGAATTAATTAAAACTTGGGCATGGTAGCACATGCCTAGCTGCAACTTAGATTTTTCTATATAGGAAATTCCAGGCTAGCCAGAGCGGCATAGCATGACTCTGTCTCAAAATCAAGTCAGGGAGGGGAGCTAAAAATTTAACCCACTTAATAAAGTGCTTTCCTTACATGCACAAAGCCTTGGGTTCTGTCCCTAGAACTACATATACTGTATCTAGTAGCTCCTGCTATAATCTAGTACTAGTGAGATAGAAATGGGGATTAGCAGCTCATGGTTATCCTTGTCAACATCACGAATTGGAGGCCACCCTAGGATGCATGAGACACTGTCTCAAAAATAAATAAATATAAAATAGTATACATATCAAACATTTGTGAATAATAAAGCATGAAGAGGTCATAAGATCCTAGCCTATATAATATATATGTAAACATATAAGTGTGGATAAAGTCTAAAAGTTTAGAAAGGAGGCCAGAGGTGGTGAGAAAAGAACAAAGTATAGGCAAAAGGATACATTAGCCAAGTGATTTAAGACTTAATGTTTTTCCCTTTTCAATTGCATTTAAGGTTTTCCTTGGAGATTTGTGAATTCAGCTTTTTTTGCACGGTTACACCAAGAACCATTTTCACATTCCAAAAGAATTCAACATGTGTTATTCCTTTGAGTCAGTGATTGTGAAAAACTTGGTCTTTTAACTCCATGAAACATTAGTACAGTAGGAATTCAGCTAGCCCATGAATAGATTTGTGTGTCCACCCACACAACAGAGACATCTTTTCATTTAGATATTTTTCTAAACAAACAAAAAGTGTTCTGAAAGAAAGGTTTTACTAACCTGCAAACCCCCCCTTTTTTTTTCTTCTGTTTAAATCATCCTATTTTAGTATTGCTTAATATGTAAATTCTATTGCTATATAAACAATTGCTGGGCTAGAGACATGGCTCAGAGGTTAAGAGCACCGACTGCTCTTCCAGAGGTCCTGAGTTCAATCCCCAGCAACCACATGGTGGCTCACAACCATCCATTATGAGATCTGGTGCCCTCTTCTGGTGTGCAGATATACATGGAAGCAGAATGTTGTATGCATAATAAATAAATAAATCTTTTAAAAAAAAAGAAAAAAAAAACAATTGCTATACATACAATAAAGTGTGGTTTAGAGAAAAGAAAAGAGGAGATTGAATTTACCAGAGCCAGACATGGTGACACATGCAATTATTCCCTAGCTGCTTGGAAGGCTGAGACAGGAGGATTGCTTGAGCCAGGAATTGGAGGCTAGCTGAAGCAAATAAAAAGATTAATTTAGGTTGTGGTGACCCACACCTTTAATTCCAGCACTGAGAGGCTGAGATCTCCATGAATTCAAGGCAGCTTAGTCTACAGAGTGAGTTCCCTAACAGCCAGGGCTGCATAGAGAAACCTTGCTTGGGAGAAGGGGGAGGAGTAATTTAGCAAAATATTAGCCACACACATAGTTACTCTGCAAGAATTAACTTTAAGTCTATATTAGAATAGTGAGTTTAAGGATGTAGCTTCTTTTTTTCTCCATTATCATAGTTTTACCTGTTTGGTTAATTTATTGTAAAAATAAATGCTTCTAAAATGCTTCAATGATTTTTATTATGACTGCTAAAACTTTCTGTCTCATTTTTTGCATTTGTGTATTAAAATGTCAGGTACCATAACTATACTGTTGGTAGTTTAATTAAAGTAGCCAAAAATTGTGTCCTTAAAATTGTACTTTTTACAATTTCAGGTATGGTTTAGGAATGATTTATTACAAGCAAGAGAAATTCAGCCTCGCAGAAATGCACTTCCAGAAAGCACTTGATATCAACCCTCAGAGTTCAGTCTTACTTTGCCACATTGGAGTAGTAAGTGACCTTTAAACACAGCTCTGTTACCTCCCCTTTAAAATAGTTTAAGTGACTTCATATTGTTGTAAAAATTGGGCTTTTTTTGTCAATGAAGCAGTGTCTTTTACAGCTGTAACACACCTTTTGACTTTGATTAAGAAATGCCTTGTGGGGCTGAGGATGTAGCTTAATTGCTATAAATTTGGTCTCTAGCACTGCAAAAACCCGAGCATGGCTCACACAGTCTTAACACTTCCTAGAGATAGAAACAGGTAGATAACAAATTCAAAGTCATTCTCAGCTATGGAGCAAGTTTAAGGCCAGCTACAGTGTAGACTGGGCTACAGTGAGACCAGTCTCCAGAAAGGAACGGGTTGTGGAGAAGGGGTGGGATACTTGTGTTTGTATATTGTTTGTTTGTTTTTTTGTGTATTTGTGACTCAAATGAAGTTTTGTTTAAGAAGAGATGTTTCATTTTTAATTATGTGTATAAATGTGTCTGCTTATCTGCAGATGCCCAAAGAGACCAAAGGCATCAGATCTCCTGAAGCTGGAGTTATAGGCAGTTGTGATGCCTGGCATGGGTGCTGGGAAGCAAACAAATTCTGCACCTAGGCAAGAGCACTCTTAACCATTACACCATATCTCCGGAGACTTACTTTGTTTCTTTTGAGACAGTTTTATGTCTGTAAGATATACTTGAGTGACATGGGATTCATGAACAAGTTATTTGAACATAATTTAATATTTAGAGTATCATAATGAGCATTCAGAAATGTCCGCATAAATGATAATTTTCTTGTGAAGGGTAAAACCAGGTTTTACAGATAATTACATGGTAATTATCTGCTATAAAGATCAAATCTGGGTCTGGAGAAGTGGCTCGGTGGTTATGCAGAGGACCCAAGTTTGGTACCTGGCATCTGCTTCAGGCAGCCCACAGTCACCTGTAATTCCAGCTCCAGAGGATCTAAGGGCCCCTGGCCTCCACAGGCACCTGCACTCAGTGCATGTGCACACATACATACACACACGCATGTATGCATAATTCAAAATCTTCTTTTAGATATTAAATCATGATTATTATCATAGGCTCACAGTAGTGGGTTTAGGAGTCTGAGGACTTAGGATTTTATCCTACAGAAAATTATCTAAACACCTCTGGAGTTCAGGGTGCTTTTAACTAATTACTGTTATTACTGTTGTTGATGTTGTTGTTGTTGTTGTTGTTGGGGTCAGAGAACAGTGTAATTGGCCCATTCTTCTATCTTGCATGGGTACTGGGGATTGAACTAAGATCAGAGTCTTTACTAGCCGATCAGTTTTGCTGGCCCTCAAATGTGCTGTCTTTAAAATGGAGCAATTGCCAGACTCACAAGAGAATTAGAGATAATCTATTAATCACTTAGTATCTTAGTTCCTTTTCTGTTGGTTGTGATAAAACATCATGACCAAAGGCAATGTAGGATGTGTTTAATTTAGCTTACAGTTTCAGAGGGTTAAAGTTCATGATGGTGGAGCAAAGGAATAAGAGAACCCTGGGAATGGTGTGGGCTTTTAAAACCTCAAGGCCTGCCCTCAGTGACACACCTCCTCCAGCACAACTCTGCCTCCTAATCCTATCCAAACAGCCAACTAGGGACCAGTCTCATTCAAACCACTACATTTAGTGATGAGTTACTTAGTTCACGTAAGCCAGGTAGACAATCCAACTAGATTACACAGCCTTATTTCTAATAGTTTTATTCTTGATAATGGTTTTGAGTTAATGTTGTTTGCTCCTTACCTTTCTTTAATAATATAAAGACTGATTTTTATTTCTTGAAGGTTCAGCATGCACTCAAAAAATCAGAGAAGGCTTTGGATACCCTAAACAAAGCCATTGTTATCGATCCCAAAAACCCTCTATGCAAATTTCACAGAGCCTCCGTTTTATTTGCAAATGAAAAATACAAGGTAAGTTTTATATTAGTTTCTTCCATATTTTATTACATCTCTTTAAAAACAAAAACAATGCCGCACAGTGGTGACACATGTCTATATTTCCAGCACTTAGAAGGCAGAGGCAGGTGAATCTCTGTGAGTTCAAGGCCAGCCTGGTTTACAGAGCAAGTTCCAGGACAGCCAAGGTTATCCAGAGAACCCCTATCTTGAATTAAAAAAAAGAAAGAAAAGGTTTACATTTGTCATTTATTTATGTGAGGAGGGGTGTGTACACATGTGGATGCCTGGGACAGCTTTTTGAAGCCTTGTGTTAAGTACTTTGACATCATATTTTCAGGCATAATGTGATTATTTCTTTTTTAAGAAGCATGGTAACAGAAGCAGAGTTCTGACCACTGCATCTCTAAGCGGTGGTGTGTATGTAGGTTTTCCATGTTATCTGGTGAATACCTACCATCTGTTAGTCTTTTAACACATCATTTTTATGCATTTTATTTTTACCCCAGTGAGAAATTAATGCAACACAAAGTATGTTGATGATGTGCTTGGAAGCTCTTGTGATTAGGAATCTGCACTTGTTTAGTGCTCTGTAAAATTTTGTTGTTTGTTTTTTTTTTTCAGTCTGCTTTACAAGAACTTGAAGAACTGAAACAGATTGTCCCCAAAGAATCCCTCGTTTACTTCTTAATAGGAAAGGTAAAATTTGAAGTCTTGGTCTTATGCTGCAACTTTGTAATAAATACTAAATTCTTTTTCTTTCTTATTTTAAAGACTTGTTTTTATTGCCCAGTAGTGGTGGTATACACTTTTAATCCCAGCACTGGGGAGACAGGCAGGAGATTTTTTTTTTTTTTTTTGAGTTTCAGGTCAGCCTGATATACAGAGCAAGTTCCAGGACAGCAAAGGTGACGCAGAGAAACCCTGTCTCTAAAATCAAGAGCAGATTTGTTTTTATTTATGAATATGTGCCAAGTATGTTCTTCCTTCTCCCGGTGGAGGCCAGAAGAGGGCGTTGAATCTGGAGGAACTCGAGTTATATAGACAGTTGTGAGCTGCCATGTAGGTTCCATAAACTAGACCTGGGTCTTATAGAAGAGCAGCAAACAATCTTAGCTGTTGAGCTCTCTCTCCAACCTCAACAGACACTAAAAATAAATATTATGTAGTGTACAACATCTAATACTTAGCAAATTTAACTGGATTCCTAAACTAAGGGCCATGGAAATAATGGATTTAGCACTAGCATTTAAAAGATGATATTCTGAGCAGTGGTGGTGCATGCATTTAACCCTAGCACTTGGGAGGCAGAGGCAGGCAGATCTCTGTGAGTTGGAGGCCAGCCTGGTCTACAGGGCAAGTTTCATGACAGCCAGAACTGTTACACAGAGAAACCCTGTCTCAAAAAACCAAAAAAAAAAAAAAAAAAAAAAAAAAAGATATTCTAGCTGGTCATGGTAGGGTTTGGCTATAATCCCAACACTTGGACACTAAGGCAAAAGGATTACCCTAGCTCAAAGCCAGCCAGGACTGTTTGTATATGGACAGACATCTTGTCTCAGAACAGCCAAGAAGGAGCTTTTGTAGTCTTTCTTCCCATTGTTAATATTCCAATCAGTGAGATTTATTGGAAACTCCATACCTGAAAAATAGAGGCAAGGAATTCTGAACGTAATACCTGATTTTACATATGTATGTGTTTATGTATGTATATGTGTATATACACACACGCACATACACACACACCCAAGCGTGCGTGCGTGCGTGTGTGCTAATGTCAAGTCCTCCGTGGGATTAAAGTGTCGTCCCCACCTGAATGGACTTAGAGTTCAGGCATCAGAAGCCTAATTTGTTTTTAAGATTGTGCTGTTGAAGAATGAAATGCTGCTGTCTCTTTATAGGTTTACAAGAAGTTGGGTCAGACTCACCTTGCCTTGATGAATTTCTCTTGGGCTATGGATTTAGATCCTAAAGGAGCCAATAATCAGATTAAAGAGGCAATTGATAAGCGCTACCTTCCAGATGATGAGGAGCCAATAACCCAAGAAGAACAGATCAGTGAGTATCTTATGTAAGCTTTGTAGTGTTCAGAAAGCTGCCCTGTGCAGAACCTGTGGGCTACTTTATTTTCTTAACAGCAGCATTTTCTTTAAAGAAAATTTGGGGGAAATTAAGATGATGCAGTACCAGAGTCCATTTGCTATCAAGTAATTAGTTGTAGATAATAGTGTTCTATATTATGACTTTGAACCTCAGCTCTACAGTAGCAGTTCTGGGCAAATCAAAAAAAAAAAAAAAAAAATCTAAGCCGCACGTTGGTGGCACGCACCTTTAATCCCAGCACTTGGGAGGCCAAGGCAGGTGGATCTCTGTGAGTTCGAGGCCAGCCTGGTCTCCAGAGCGAGTGCCAGGATAGGCTCCAAATCTACACAGAGAAACCCTGTCTCAAAAAACCAAAATAAAAAAAAAAATCTAGATTTGTATTTATTAATATTTATATGTGTTATATAAGAGAATTGGAAACTTCCTGCGATAAAACTTAGTAAACATCTTTAAGTAAAATGCCTAGCCTACATGAGACCCTGTCCCCAAAGAGCTATTATCATTATTTTAAAAGTAAGTCAACTTCCAGGCATGCTATAAGATGTAGAACTTAAAGCCAGGCCTAATGGTGCATGCCCTTAATCCCAGTCCTGGGGAGGCAGAGGCAGGTGGATCTCTGAGTTCTAGGCCAGCCTGGTCTACAGTGTGAGTTCCACGACAGCCAGGGCTACACAGAGAATCCCTGTTTTGAAAAATCAAAATATATATATGTAACTTAAGATGTGCTGTATTAGATAACATTAGGGGTTTTGTGTTCAGTGGGGTCTCATCTCTGAATGTAATGAAATTTCCTGAACCAGTGAAATGCATTGGTCCCACACCTTATGTTTTTGTTTTTATAGTGGGAACAGATGAATCCCAAGAGAGCAGCATGACAGACGCAGATGACACACAACTTCATGCAGCTGAAAGTGATGAATTTTAACTTCTGGAAATCAGACTTTTGCAGTTGGATGTGTGGCTAGTGCTGACATGTTTCTTGTCCCTCCATATACTGAGTCTTAACACTTGAGCCGGCACGGTCATCATCTTCACTTAGACCATAGTGTGCCACTTTCATTGGACCCTGACTGTACACAGAATGAAAGGCAGTGCAATCTTTAGCTGCTAACAGGACTGGCTCTTTTACCAGTATGAATGACAATTTGGGGGGAAGGGTGGGGAACTTTTTCTTTTTTTGTTTAATCTACCTTAGTTGGAAAGCTATCATGGAAGGAAGAGTTATGTTTTATCTTGAAGGAGCCATTAGATATGGGAATGGTAATGAACCAAAATTTCTTGGTCATTTTTCCAAAATTCTGTTTTTTTTCCTTTGGTTCTGTTCCTGTTAGAGTGACTGACCTTCATTTCTAGGTTCTTCAAGAATGGTGTTAGCAAGTGCCAGATGGAACAATAAAAGACATTGCCTATAACAGAGTAAGTTCATTGCCAAGGAACATAACTTCCCTTAAGCTTGGAGTGTCTCATAAACAAATGTGATGGGCCTATTGGGACTCATGTGGGAGTCAAATATCCCTCCATACAGTGTACACTTATTCTTGGCAAGAATGTTTGAATGTCTAACCAAGAATTTTAATTTATTCATCTTCAAAGTGTTGATCATTGTTGGTATTGCAAACTTTAAAATTGGTCCTAAGATACTGCCTCTTCTCTTTGAGCTCTGTGGGATTGCCTGTAACATTCACAAATGATGGAGTGGTCCCTGATGAAAAGCCAAAACCAGGCTCTGAATAGCCACTTATGTTTATATAAAAAGAGTCAGTATGAGAACACTAAAGAGAGACTTTGGAGATCATGATAGAAGCCTTAATATAGTTGGAGTTGTACCTAACCGTGAGTCTGCATCTTTTCTAGGAATGCAAGTAGAGTGCAAGAATGTGTGACCTTTTTGAGGTCAAGTCCATTCTTTTCAGCTCTCTGTGACATATTGTTGGTAGTTTGAGTCACCAAAACTTATACTGAGAGTAATTAATTGGATTTAAAATACTGAAAATTCTTAGCCTGTGGAAAAGTTTATGAAAGAGACAGATTCTCTTCTGAGTTCATCATAATATGGTTAGTGTGTTTGGGAATGGCCACTGTTTTAAAGATCTAATTATGCATATAAATGGGAATTATTGGAATTTCACAGTAACAGATTTAAACAGTCTTAAATTGTGTATCTCCTTTATTGTAATGTATTGAAAATTTTAGAGAAACTTTAGTTAACATTTTATTAAGTGCCAATGTCAGAATATAACAAATTATAGTTTCTTATGAGTGACAGGCCTACAGTTATTATTTTGGATAATTTGATGAAGGAAAAACTTAACTCACTGGTTACTTGTATTTGTTAGTCAAGCTGTGAAAATAAGGTGGATTACAAAAGATGTGAAGAAAATGTTTTAGCCTGTAGGCTCAGTCATTTCCTGTCAGTTACTTAATCTTCTCATCCAGATGTGAATTAGATACCATTATTAATTCAAGTCAAAGTCTTGGGTTAGGTATTAGGTGCCAGAGAAGCATTTGAGATAACTTCCTGCCTAAATCTATGTATGTGTACTGTCTAAAAAGAAATAATTTATGAGGAAAAGGAAAAGTTGGGAATAAATGAATATCATTAAAAATTCCCAAAAGCTAGCACTTCATTCTAACAGATATTCCATTTTATTATTCATTAGTTATGTAAAATTTAATTTTCATTTCTTTTATTTTTTTAATTAGCAAATCATAAGCCAGCTATATACATATATATATATTACATTATCAGATCTAGAGTTTCATAGAAAGCTTTCCCCTGAGTTCTGTTGCAGACCTAGAGAAAGCTAAGTGCAGAACTTTATTTGCTGAATGTAATTGCCTTTTTTTTGTAGGAATTTATGTCCTGTGCCAGAGAGAGTTTCTGGTACTGATTTTGAGACAAAGGATAGAGGCATAGTTGTGGCAGTGGCTGGCTATAGAGACAGTCACAGACACTTGGCCAGCTTTCTGTTTCCTCACACCTGCTTTTAACATCTCCATACTGGAGCCTTATTGCCACGTAGTAGCCATTTCTTCTTAGGTTTCCTTTTCTTTCTGTCTTTTCCTTTTTTTTCCCCTTTTTTGTTTTCTTTTTGCAGAATAGGGATCAAACAACCAGAAACACACTTTGGTAAGCCCAATTGTTTGTTTCAAATTTCAGACATGCGCTGAAGGAAATTAAGAATACTAAGTACTTTGCTGTCATTTTTCACACCTTTACATGTGTATACATATATAAATACATACTCTCACACAAAAGTATGTTAGCGCATTGGATTTTTTTTTCCCGTGGAAATGGTTGTTGCACCAGGATTTTAGAAGGTTAGAATATTTTTCAGGAGAACAGATGGTACTCAAAATAATGAAAGGTGGTCTCTTAACTCTTTCTGTATTTTGTTACTTAAAATCTTTTATCCAAGAACTGCAAGTAACATTTGAACTATGCTGCTGTTGTACCTTAAACAAAACTCAGTGATAACCAGTGTTTAGTCTATTAAAACATTCTTTTTGAAGAAAACAGTTTGAAAGTCTCTGATTAGCCAGAGTACGGTATAGGTCTTCACTGAAAAAAAAGTGGCAGACAGCCCATTTTCTTTGGGAAAATGCAAGTGTGGGTGTGATAAGTGTGTTCTATTTGCATTGAAACAATGTACTTTTGTGTCTTCTTTTTGCTTTTCCTGACTTGTTTCAGAAATTGTATAGTCTTTGGGGGGAAAGTCTTTTCTGTTAATATATTTACAGTTCATTAAAGGATATGGAAAATCCAAATAAATTACTTTTGAAAGCAGTTTATAATCAAGGTGTTAAAGCTGTGCCCTCTGCACTTTTATACTGCATCACAGCAGCCTAGTGATGAGAGATCAGTTTCATGTTCTATTCCACTCTTTTTAATATATATATTAAAGTTCATACCCTTTTTAGTATTATTTGGAATTTCAAAATAAATATTATGACAAAAAACAATGCTAATTTTTAGAATATATTATTTTCAAACTGCAGAACCTCTCCATCAGCAGCTGCAAGCTTGCAGGTCATCTGGTTAGCAGTTCATTCTCCAGTGATGTCATTTCTGAAGTTCCCTTAGGACACAAGAACCTTTGTATTTACAATTTAAGGTCCAAAGCTAGGCCTGGTGGCTCACATCTGTAATCTCAGTGTTTGTAGATTGGAATGCTCTGTGCTCAAAGCCAGCTTGGGTCACAGAGTAACACCTTGTCTCAAACTTTTTTTAAGGTGGGGGTGGGAATTGGTTCGTTTGGTTAAAGTTGAAGCTAAGTTTAGACCTGCAGAAAGTATCCTGCAAATACTGGGCAAGATATCACATGACTAATTCCAACACTGCAGAAGCAGATGGGAGAATCCCTGGCCTGGCCAGTCAATAAGTTATTCCCATTCAATGAGCTCCAGTTTCAAAGAAATACTATCTCAAAAAGGGAGTTAAGTAATTGAAGAAAGTATATCCTGATGCTGACTCGTGGCCTCCGCCAGCATGCACAGGCGTGCCTATGTACCCCCTTCAAAAAGAGCACTTGCCTAACATTCATAAATCCCCAAGTTCAATCTCGGTACTGCCAAAAATAAATAGGCTGGGGACATTTGCCTATATCCAAGGGCTGGGTTGGATCCCCGCCATTGAATAAACTGGTCATGATGGCATGTAACTGGAAGGTCCACCCTCGGGAGCTGCAGACATGAAGATCAGACATCTAAGATCATCCTTGGCTATTTAGCGAGTACCCTGTCTGTAAACATGCATGAATATTAAGATCTGGAAAAAGTAAAACACACAAAATTGAGTTTTACACTAGTTTGCAAACCTTTTATTGATTGGGGTTATCTTGGGGAAAGGTTAACCAGAATAGTCTTTTCAGACTTGGAGGAAGAACAGCAACACAGAAAGCACATGAAGTGTGTACTGAGCAGATCAAAGGGATTGGCTTCCCTGGGATGCCCCACTCATTGCCTTCTAAACAGTGAAGAACAGAGGAAAAGTACGATCTCTTGCTTAGAAAAACAATTACTTTCTTGGAGACAGGTCTTACCATGTTGTCCCAACAGCCTGGAACTAACTTTTGGTTCAAGTTTACAGTTATTTGCCTCCTTACAGAGTTAAAGTTAGCCTGGTTGGAGAATAGGAGAGAAGTGTATGTTTGGAGAGAAGAGCTCCTGGTGTGTGTATGTGCTTGCATGTGTGCAAGTATGTACACATATAGGTGGGTACATGCCCTCAACATACAATGAGTTTGTGGAGTTCATTCTTCACCTTCCTCCTTTAGACTGGATCTCTTCGTTGTTGTTGTTTTATAAAGATTTGTTTTATTTGTGTGCCTTTTATCCCAGCACTTAGAAAACAGAAACGGGCAATCTCTGAGTTCAAGGCTAGCATATTTTATTTGTGTATGTGTGTGCCTTGGTGAAATTATGTGCCCTCAGAAGCTAGAGTGTGTTGGGTACCCTGAAACTGGAGTTAGTCAGTTGTAAGATGCTGGTATGGTGCTGGGAACCAAATCCAGATCCTCTGGAAGAATAGTAAGTTCTGTTAATGGCAGAGCCATTTTTCAGCCCACAAGATCTCTTTAAAGCTTTTGCGCTGAATGTACCTGGCTGGCCCAGGTGCTGCAACAGAAGTTTCAGCCTGCCATCTGCCCATAGGTGTGCTGGAATTACCAATGCTCACACTGTATCTGGCCTTAAAGTGGGTGCTAGGGATTCAAATTCAGGTCCTCATGCTTTCCCAGGAAGTGCTTTTACCCTTTGAGCCATCTCCCAAGCCCTGGTTTTTTGGGTTGTTTTGTTTTTGTTTTTGTTTTTGTTTTTTTGTTTTTTTTGTTTTTGTTTTTTGTTTTGTTTTTTTTTTTGTTTTGTTTTGTTTTTTTTGTGTGTGTGTGTGTGTGTTTCTGACTTACTGGAAATTAAATCCAGGGTTTTGTAATTTTATGTTAAACAAGAAACAAGTGTTCTACCATTGAGCTATATCTGGAACTCTGGTGTTGTTTTGTTTTAGTTGGTTAGTTGGTTTGGAGTGCTTTGGGTTTTTTGTTGTTGTTTTTGAACAAGGTCTCTATTTTGTAGCCCTCCCTGGCTATCGTGGAACTCACTATGTAGACCAAGCTAGCCTTGAATTTATAGAGATCTGCCTGCTGCTGCTTACCAAGTTAGAACCCTATTTTTGTTATTTAATGTATTTAATTTTATTTTGGTGAATTTGTTTTGCCTACATACATGTCTGATGGTGTTGAATTTCCTGGAACTGGAGTTACTGCCAGTTGTGAGCTACCATGTGGGTGCTTCGAATTGAACCCTGGTCCTCTGCAAGAGTAGCCAGTGCTCTCAACTGCTGAGCCATTGTGCTGACCTCAGAACTCTGGTTTTGGTGTTTGTTTGTTTGTTTGGGGGTTTGTTGGGTTTTTTGTTTTGTTTTGAATTTCACTTTGTGACAGACTTTGACTGCATAACCCTGTGTTTTGTTTGGTTGGCTGTTGCTTGTTTTGTCTTGGTATTTTTTGGTTTTTCTGTTTGGGTTTTTTGAGACAGCATCTGCTAGGTAGCCCATGCTGGAATTATAGTCATACACTATTTTTTTTTTTTTGGTGTTTGTACATGTGCAAACATATGTACATGCCATATTGTGTGTGGCGGCCAGAGGACAACTTACTAGAGTCTGTTCTTTCCTTCCACCGTATTGGTTCCATAGGTGGAGTTCAAATCATCAGACTTGGCTACCAGTTTTTCTTATTTTGTTTACATGTATGTAAAAGTCATGCCCTCTGTTTACACACTGTCTGGTTTTCCTCAATGAAGTTCAGTCATTGCATAAAACCTATATGCCTGCTAAGTTTTAGTGGTTCCTGTAAGGGTTGTGTGGTTTGGTGTTCATTGGCTGAGGTTTTTCCTTTTTGTTTTCTATGACTTTAAAACTTTTTTTATTATTGTATGTGTATGGGTGTTTTGGCCTGCATATATGTCTGTGCACCAGGTACATTGCCTGGTTCCCCCTGAGTTCAGAAGGGGCATCAGATCCCCTGGAACGGGAATTACAAACGGCTGTGAGCTGCCATGTATGTGCTGGGAACCCAGCCCTGCTTCTCCTTAAGAGCAGCCTGTAACTTGATAAATAAATGTACCCAGAGACTTGATACTGGGGTTCAGACTTCAAGCTGAAGACCAGAAAAGCAGATGGCCACTAGCTTCTTGCCTCTAACTCAGGCTGAATGGGCTGATCCTGTCTCCACGAGCTCTCACCAAGCCTCAGAGCCTCTCCTCAGTGTGGCTAGAGATTGAATAGCTCCTACCCAATACTGAAGACTCTGCTTCTATATAGTGCTGGGATTAAAGGTGTGTGATCTGTTACTCTTTTAGACTGATTTAATCTCTAGGTGTGTATCCCTGGGTGGCCTTGAACTCAGAGAGGTCTCTGTCTACCTCTTAATTCTAAGTCCTAGGATCAAAGGTGTGTGCCCAGCTTCTATGGCTTTGCTTTCTGAATCCTCAGGCAAGCTTTAATAAGTTGTATATGATATATCACTACAGCAACCAGTAGCTAACATCTAAATGTTTTCCAGCCCCTTTTGGGTTTTGTTGTTTTTTCTTATTTTGGTGGTAGGGGTGGGTCGGTGGGGTGTTTTGCTTGTTTTTGTCTTAAGACAAGGTCAGATGAAGCCCAGGTTGCCTTGAACTCTAGGTTCTTTTGCTTTCACCTCCGAAATGCTGGAATATAGGTATGCCCCTCCACGCCTGATATTTATGTTGATCCTTTTATAGATGTTTTTGTGACCCCCTAATCTAGTATTTATAGCTGTATTGGTGTAACCTCCTCACGCCTCCCAAAGGACAGGTAAAAAGTGATAGTTTTTTTTTTTTTTTTTCAGTACTTTCTCAGTTGAGACATCTCTTAGTAAGTAGACATGAAGCAACACGGCAGTGGTTCTTAGTTTCTTTTTCTTTTTTATTATGTGTTAGAATGTATGTGGGTGTATGCCGTGTGAGTGTATTATGCTCAGAGGCCACAAGAGGGTGCTAGATCTCCGGGAGCTGGAGTTCACACAGTTGTGAGCCACCTAACATGGGTACTGGGAAGTAGACTCAGGTCTTCTGCAGGAGCAGCAAGAGCTCTAACTGCTGAGCCACATCTCCGGACCCCAATACTGCTTTTCTCTTTCGACTGGATGCCCTGTAAAGCCACTGACATTCCTATCCATAACATTCGATTCCACTCTGTCTTTCACAACTACTGACCGTATGCATACTCTTGGAAAATTTCAATAATTTCCATCATGACTCAGTCCTGAAATGTATCTGTATTAAGAAAAAGAAAAATATATTGGGTGCAAGCAAGATGGCTCAGCAGGTATCTACACCAAGCC